CCGTTAATCGCCTCTTACGACAAACATGGGTTGCTGAAGACCTATTCTACCCCGGATCTTCACGGGTAGGTAGTAATAGCAGCAGTGGTAGTAGACGTAGTAGCAGGCGGCGTAGCAGCAGCAGCAGCAGCAGTAGTAATGGTCATGGTGATGGTGGTGGTAGTAGTAGTAGTAGTAGTAGTAGTAGTAGTAGTAGTAGTAGCACCGGTGATGGTGGAAGTATGATGAAGGAACAGTAGAAATAGCTGCAGTGGTAGTAGGTTTACCCACATCATTAATAATAACAAAAGCTACACTCGGACGATAATTAATTATATTATCATGACAGCCACGTGTATTTATAACAGCAAGACTAACCGTTATAATAAGTCGTTACAATAACGGTTTCAAGGATGTTCTGCAATCACATATAAATTAGTCACTCTCAGACCAAATATAAATATTGGCCTGTACACTGCATCTATTACGAGGCGGGTTATCCTATTCCTGGAACATCGTTCCATGATACGCCCTATCCCCGGTTTAACATTCACATTACTGTACGGCCATGTCAGGTTGCAATTAGATAAATGAGTCTATTTGCGATAACCCAGATATCATGTAAGACAGACATATTAAAGATCACAAGAAACTGTAACGACCCGCCACGAGATAGAATACATCAATAACTTACGTCTCATTTATCAACAGGAGTCCGCCCATGATGTATTAACTTTCGACGGCGTTGTTGCACAGAGAGAGATATAACACCATGTGTTGGTTTATTAACATTTCATGTGATGTTGATAACAAAGATGAGCGGTGTCGTAGGGGTCGTGGGTGGCCGAGACGTCTACGGCACCGTACGTCGTGGTGCACAGTTGTGTGACTTGGTTTTTAAAGAAATCTATGGTTGACTCCGGTTTGAGCCTGAATTAGACAACCCAGTGATTGACATTAGGAGCAACGATCTACGCAATTTTATTCATTGTCATGCACCAGCCAAGTAAGCAAGCCTGACGACCCGACCCCTTTAATCGTCCCTCACCACAAGCAAGGGCTTCGTAAATATATTCTAGCCAGTAACTACAAAGCGGTAAATGCCTGAAACCTTTTCCTAAACCCCCTGTGCTTTCACTGCAGCTATTGCCAGTCACTCATGTTAGACTGAATAGTGCCATTTGGACTGTAGGTATCTGTACTAAATTATAAACCTATGGCCAATGTTGTTTATTGTTCTTGCAGTTGCTTCCCATTATGGAATCACCTCGGTAGAGGTTTTACGATTGCAGGAGGTTTTACAATGGTAGTTGTAAAACCTCATACCCTGATATGAGGTTTTGAAGTGACCATTATTTATGACTGATACAACTTTGTCTTGCTAAGACTGATCGTAAAATATCTCATTATTGAAAACCTCTAATATTTAGTGGCGATAACTGGTTTCGAAACCGGAACCCATCGCTCTCTAGCTTGGCGGTTTTATCCACTCGGCTACGAAGGATCGCTGTGAGGAATGAGATTGTTTGTCAGTATGAACCATGTGTTTCTCACACGACAGGTACTGCGGGCAGCGCAGGTGCAGGACACGGGTAGCGCGTGCAGAGCACGAGCATTGCGCATGCGGGGCAAGGTGTTGGCTGCCAGTTGCATCCCAGTTGACACCGGCTGTTCCATAATTTGCGGGCTGTTCCATCAATGTTGTTCTACTAAGTACGTGCACAAATTAAAAGTAATACATATGTAATTTTTGTTGTCTTAGACGGTTTATAAGTTTGATAAAAGACGCGCCCTCGGGATTTCCTTCCCCTGAGGTTTTACATTCTCAACCAAAACCTCGGAGTCGTCTTTTATCCTACACGTAAAAACCAGCCTTCATGCATTTATCTCAAAATTTCGTTTGGATTATGTCGAGTCAGTTAGAGAATATTTCACTTATATAATGTTCTTGATGCAGGCAAACAACATTCAGGACGACCTAAAACATAGTGGCACCATACTCTATATAATGCGTTCACCTTTCCTTCATTCAACAAATATTATTTGTATGCATCAAAAATACGTTATTTCAAACAATGTGAACGTTTCAATCGGAAAACCTATGCCCGTTGCCTAATTCATTTGGTCATTTACAGGGATTTGGGGCTCGTAGTTGAGGCGATCGCCCGTCACACTGACGACCCGAGTTCGATTTTTCACATGGGTTTAATAAATGAAACTAATTTCCGGTGTCTCTACAAGTGATGGAATCAGTAACGGGTTAAACCACATTAACTCGCTCATACCATATACGTTACAACACATTACCACGTTACAACATATTAGCAACCAGTTACATCAAGCGAGTTTACATGTTAAGTCAACGTGATGGGTTTGTTTTGATCACCGCTATCTACAATCTACTCCCAGGCGGGGAAATATGTCCAGAAAAGAATTCCTTCTTCAAAGATTTAACAAACAGGAAGTGCATCGCATATGTAATATGTTTCCATCATCTAAAATGACATTTAGAATCCGCAGCCTCCGAACGCAAAGTTCATCTGAAGTCCGTTGCGTCATGTAGAGTATAGCTACTCAAAACTTTTGAAATTGTCTCATAAAAATCTGTATTACTGTATCATACTGAGTCTACGATTATGTTATACATGCGCTACTTCCCAACCCATGTTAATACAGATGCAAGATGACGCAGCTATCGAAATGGATATACGCCCACAGGTGAAGAATAACTATTCTTGAACAAAGACGTTTTCTTAACAAGTTCGGATTGGAACAATGCCTGCGTTGTGTTGTAAAAGCCGAGAAAAGACTTGTTTCCTGTCACTAATGAGTACTCATTAAGGAAAACACCATTGAGTACATTTACCTTTCTTGCAGTAATACTTGTTTCTTTGCTGAAAAGCGTACATGTAATACACTAGTTTGGCATGACACGTCTTAGCAAATCCCGAGGACAGACTTAAAGGGCGATTGATATCGGTAGCTAACTGGATAGTGTTCAATGCATTAAGGTATCTACCATATCTGATTCGATTGATCGATAACTTAACTGAGATATTCCTGAATGTACGCAGATACATACCATTCTCTTTTCCTGGAAATCATCAGTTGCACAACCAGAAAACGATTGACTGAGTCTTCCGAGACTCAGTGATTAGCACTGTAAATTTGTGTCCTCAGAGCGAGGGAAAGGTTTTGGTCGTGGACTTTCGTATCAGCTCTGTCTGTGTTTCTAGATTAGCCATCACTATGCCTGCGGTCCTATCGCCTGTACACTGGAGCCTGTTGCCCACACCATGCTGGCCTGCTGAGATCTAACTAATTATAATAATATGTCAAAATCGTATGTTGTTAAAGCTAACTCACTCACCCATTCACTGTGTCTGAGTGGGATGCAGATTTAAACATGGCGTGTTGGTGGGCTATGTCTAACATAATCATCCACACACAGCTATGTCCCGATACGACTACCTCTGTCAATGATGATCTACTTACAGATGCCTCAGTGCAGATCATCAACTATAACGTAATAAGACAATGTACCCACACACGCTCTTTAAAGTGACTTTTGTGTAAATCAGTTGGATATACGTACAGGTACATTCCATTGCGAAATATGAACTGAACCTTCAGCTTGAATAGTGTATTGCCCAGGCGTTTCCGCTAAATGAGAAAACAGGTGTACCGTATACTTCAGTCTCTCCTGTTCGGCTACGCGGAACTTTCCTCCCTACTCACAACCCCATGCCATTCACTCACTCACTCTCATTCATTTTACACGGGACACCATAGATCCTAGTGTTCCCTGTATAACGTGAAAACCAGAGAATAATCAGTCTCGAATATCTGCCGAAATAAATCTCCTGGGTTTAAAATGAAATAGTGATGAAACAGACATATGAATGAATCACAGACTGACGGAACGATTGACCTCGACGAGGTTTCCCTATGTTATGGATCGGTACGCCACGAGTACACACGGTCTAAGTATTTCGAAGGGTCGATGGCGTATACAAACCTCCAAAGTTAAACTTGGAACATTAAGCAGCCTGGAAGGTTGATTCTGACCAATGGAAACTTAACCCCTCAACTCCTGTTACCTTCACCCACCCAACCAAGCACACCCCTGCACAGAATCCCATACCACCAACAACCATCCCTCAAAACAACATTGAACTTTTACTTTGGAACTGCTAACTTACGGGCCGTTGTGACAAGCCTGGACTACTGCAGGGGATTGAGGAGCCTTTGAGCCATTCATATAATACGGGCTTCAAAATAGCTATCATTGATAACGTTGCACTCTGACCGAGTAGCTTAACTCACGTCAATCACAATCAACAACCAACAGTTTTTTCAGCGGCTTTTACATACAAATTGAATCCCGACTATATTACTGAAAACATGACTACAAGCAATGCCCCGCGCGAGATGCAGCGTCCGATGTAATTGATGAGGGCAGTACTGTTATTAATCAACGAGACATTGTCAAACAGAAACTCAATGGGAAGTATTTACACATACGATCCCGTTATCTAAAACAGGAACACTATACATGCAGCATGAACATAATTCAATAGCACCGGGGAGATAGTTTTAGGGTGTGAGCTTAGACATTGGTGATTAAATGAGTGTTTGAGTTAAAATAATCACAGCCCGTGTACACAACCAGCTGCAATGCTATTTCCATCCGACCCAGAGGCACAACAAGGGCTCTTACGTAAGTGAATTTGCAGGACTTCATTCTGAAGTACAAACGATGAATTGTTGGAGCAATACGGCACCTCTGAACCGTTGACAATCTTCCTACAAGGCTCTGCAACATCAACAGAACCGGCATTGTGATAGGCAGGAATATAGCGCCCTAAAGTGCTAGCTGCACGTTCAATCTATTGATTTTAAGGCGGGCGAACATGACAAACCCTCCTACTCGACGTCAATCAAAAGTGAAAAACACGTCTCTCTCACGTGTAGTTGGAAATATGTTGCGCTCGCTTTAGTACCTTACCGGTGGGCGACGCTGCTCGCCTAAAGGCGGTGCTTATTGACGGAGGCTGTTACTCTACATGATTCTCACTGGTGAATTTCTGCTGCACGTCTGTATCAAACCCACACGCCGTCCTCAGCGAAACAACTTTCAGCTAATTTGATTTCTTCATTACGGTCACCCTAGGGTTACGCCGGACGTTTTATGGATGTTTGTCTGAGGGTTTCAAAACAGCTTCTCGATGCAATGGTTTCAAGAGTGGATCTCCAGTTTTAAACCTGACACACGTGAATTGGACGGGGAAGTGATAGTAGTGTAGTCTAGATGGATCTCTATTAAATTTGGGATATCCTCTACCTAACACTTGCGAATTACAGTTGCAAAACATGCAGGGACTGGCAATGAGTTCGGATCTGTGTTAAGGAAACTTTTAATGACAGTTTGATACAACGATGATAGAAGATTAGTAACACGCTTTTGAGGAATAGTTGTGTTATCTGTGCTTAACGTTTCTGAAACATTTACAGAAGTACCTTCAACCATGACGGACGTGAAGTTAAACTGTACCGACATTACATCTGAGGCAATCTCCCAGGCCCTGTGTAATGTCTCGGAGAACTTAATTCATACATTGTCCCAGTCGTACGACAGTGGCTTGACAACTACATCACCCGGAAACGACAGCAACGGGACACTGTTCCGACGGCGTCCCATGGCCAAGCCACTTGAGATGAACATTCAAATTCCGCTGTATGTGATACTGTTTCTTCTGTCGGTGGTTGGGAATATCCTCGTCATTGTGACGCTCATACAGAACAAGAAAATGAGAACAATAACGAACGTGTACCTATTAAACCTATCTATTAGCGACTTGCTACTAGCTGTTTTCTGCATGCCTTTTACCCTTATCCCCATGGTGCTCAAAAACTTTGTGTTCGGAGAAACTATGTGTATTACCATCCGTTATCTACAAGGTAAGTACTACACTGATTTTAATCTAAAATATTAGCAAGCATTCTGCACCTGTTTTCCTGTAAACAGATTATATGGATTTGTCCTCAAGACAATTAATTGACGTGAGGTTTTAAGGATTAGCTGACGTTTTGTTAAATCCGATTGTCTGATTTTTTTGCAACCAAACAAGCTTGGTTGGTTAAGAATACTTTAGCAATTGTTGCAATCAAATGTTTTAAACATTTCTTTTTAATGATGCTTTATTGCTTGCCTGAACCATTCCAGTGACCTATTGAAAAGTGACTTTTAATCAGCCCTTGACTATGATTTCATGTGACAGACATTGATTTTAACGTTATCAGAATCAATTAACTTTTCAAGGCAATAATTATCATTATGACGACGACGATTATTATGATGATGACGCTGACAATGTCGGTATCTACGTGTGGGTTTAAACTAGAATGTTCCGAGCATGTGCTGTTCAATAAGGTGGAGTTCGACTTAATCAGTTGGCGATATATGCATGTATCTCCCAATGCGAAATATGATAGCCTTGAACTTTAAGCTTGAATTTCGAATCTCTCGTGATTGTGTATTTTGCTAAATGAGGAAACAGGTGTACCGTTCAGTCACTCTACTGCCCGCTTCGCGTTCCCTTCTTACTCCCACCTCCGCAATCCACACACTACAACGGTACCACCCATCTATCCTCCACACACACACACACACACACACATGCGCCCGCCCGCCCGCACACGCGAAAACATACACGAAAACATACACGCACACACGCACACGCACACACGCACGAACTTTGTTTAACATCAAACACGTGCCGTTGCATAAGCTCTTTACAGTGCCATAATAAACATTGTACGTTATTATCCACAATGGTGATTCTCAGAGATAGTCATCTTACCAACTGGCTGGAACGGATATACATGTATAATAGAAACCCATGAGCTGAGGTGAAATGTGGTTTAACGTCGTACTCGAGAATATTTCGCTCATATGACGACGTGGATGCGTAAGTATGTGCCGCTGGTTTTATAGTGCTAACCCACTGAGATACCATGCCGCAGTTAACCATGAATACCCCACTCAGACACATTATACTGACTCCAAGCCGACCAGTCCTTGTTGTACCCACTAATGCCGAGCGCCAGGCAGGGACCAACAAGTACCATATTTAACGTGTTCTGGTATGACTCGGTCGGGGATCGAACCTGCGATCTTCCGCTCTCCGTGCACCACTACACCACAGAGGCAGTACTACAACCAATGAAATACAACAAACTGGATATTATGATAACGTATTGGTTGACCAATCTTGCAAAACAAGTGTCATTATCCGGGAAGAGCCTGAATGATTTATTTGGCCTACAAGTAGCGGTTTGTAGGCAAGAAATTTGTATTATAATTTGAAGATTCACAGTTCAGACACTATTGTGTACCGTGATACTGCGACCCATCTCTTTCTCAAGACATCACGTGCCCATCTCTTGTCTTGAGATACTCACTGCTACATCGAAAATCACCATTTGTACTTGTACCACTACGTCACGACTGATTACCCAGTTTTCGTGGTGCCATGTTTACCTACCATCATACAAGGCTGTAAACTTTATTTTCACCTGCAGTTTATGGCAAATCTTATGATATCGTTCTTTCAAAAGAATTGTATTTTAAGTGATTCCAGACCTTGAAGTGATTTTAAGTAGCACTTAGTAATATCTAAGTAATATTCCGCTCTTACCGAGAACGGGCTTCACTTGGTTTACTTGTGGGAACTCGAACACTGGTGTTCGGTGTGACGAACGAACAGTTCAACCACATCGCCACCAACTGCTGCATACACATATATAAGGTCAAAGTCATAGAATAACTGGTCTCGATTGTAGGATGAAGTGATGCTATGGAGCGTGAAAGACAATACGCTAGTGAAAATCTTCATAATTGACACCAGGTGTTCGACAAGTGGTTTGCACGTCCCGCACTTGTCTGATCACAGACATATTGAGACTCATGAATTTGAAGCAAACTATTCTATGTATCTGCCTCCACCTTACCTCATTATCACAACATCACTGGATTGTCTGGCCCAGACGCGATTATTTACAGACCGCCGCACTCAGCAATATTCCAGCTATATGGCGGCGGTTTTCGTAATTCTAAGTGGAAGAAATATTGAACGAAGCTAAAGATTATGAAGTATAGTTGTCTTCTGACCGAGCGCAGGATACTTAAAGAGGCGTTAGATCATACCGAAGTGGACATCTCTAATCTAAGTCTAGACTTTGCCATCAGTACCTTGGGTAACTTTGAGACTGTCTATATCATATGATGTATAACCAGTTGGAGCGGGCATGGTCTAGCTTATGAAACCTGAGTTAGGAGACAATTCAAGCCTTATTTTGATGGGCTCTTTTCAAATGTGTATGACTGCAAATTTGATTCTGTTAGCCATTCTTTATGTGAACATTATTCATATCAATGAATGCTTTCCGAAGTACTGCAAGGATTCGCATCTGCATTCGTGGGATGTCTGCGTCGTCTGTTACTTTGAACTCCCCCCCAATTAATCTGGCGTTCCACAATGGAACTGAAATATAAAGTGGCGTTAAATATATATTACATAATTTCCAAAGAATGATATTCTCGATTATCGGCCGAAACAAATGCCGTTAAGCGCAAACTTACAGTTATTACAGTTGCCACACATCCACTGTATCTAACTGAGTTTTCTCTTTCATGCAGTCTCTTTGACTTGATACACTGGGCACCCTGAAAGTACTGAACTATTCATATGTGTGCGGCCTCTAGATCTCGGCTATGTGACGGACACATGTGATGGCTAATCCGACTGCTGACTGTTGATGCACATTTACATCTTTAAAAAACTTTCCAGAATTGGGATTCTATATCAGCTATACAGCAATACATCTCATTCACGATTTCTCTCGCTTGACCTATCGACCACGCGTGTGTCAATGATAGTTTAGACTACTGGTTATAGTTGCATACTACTCTTTAAATACAGCCATAAAACCTTTTCATATTCACAAGAAATCCAAGGAAACAGTTCGATTTTACGATCCCGACTATAAAAAACGTTTTTTTTATGAAAGCAATGAATATAAATGAATAAGCATGAGAAAAAATCCCAAGTTTGTCAATTACATGCAGCCACAGATACAATAGTATTATATCAAAATGTTAAAGGCAAGGACCTCCTGTAAGTGTCTGGAGAGTACCAGATATTTATAAAGAATGCACGTTGTTATGAGTGTTTTGCAACCACAAATAAGCCAGATAACTGTTTGAAAGCATCTAGAACATTTTTTGTGAACGTTTTCCGTGTGTAAGAGTAATATAAGACAATAAAACAATGCAACAGAATATTGCAAGGAGCTTGGCAACGTGCATAATCTCCCATTTAGCTTTCTCTGGTAAACCTAGACACATTACTACCGCAGGGTGTAACAGCTCGCTTCAGACATTGCCTCTGAATAGCCTGGAGAGGCATTGTATGTTTATTTCAAGCTATCTATAGAAGAGAGAATCGTAATGATGCCGTCTTTATTAGGTAACGCATGAGAACTGCATCAATCAAGTGGCCCATTAGATATCATTGATCTCAACTCTCTTTCAAAGCTGCATTGTACGGAATACTATAACTTGTTACCGTTGAAACCTGAAGTATTGTAAGATTCGTATGGAGAAATTTTGTTTAGAGCGGTGGTATGCACATACATTTCGTCTATTGATCGACAAGTCTGCATGTTCGGCACACATGCAGCTCGCATCTGAGAACATGTGAGGTAAATATTTGCCTTCCATCGAAAGAGGCTCAAAGGCAAAACTGGGTTGAGGATGTTTATGATCTGTACACTAGTGATTCAATCTCCTCTGTAAAACATGCATCTTCCTTCATCAATTCTCACAGTTTAGTCCTATTTTGAGACGTTTAGCAACATTATTGATTAGTTTTAAAGACAATATTACTCAGAGCCATTACATAAGATCGTAATACCGTGATACGACAATGATCGCTAAGTGGGATGGTTCCTGGCTCATAGCATACCATCGTACGCTGAATCCGTGACTGCTTATTGCTCTTGCCACATGTTCTAGGTATGGCTAGGTTATCCTGTACTGACCACCATGCCTTAGTTGTAACGTTAACATTGCTGACGTCACACAAAGTCGATATAACAGACTTGTTGAAAAACATACGAACTGTTCCATATTAAGCACATTTTTCTCTCTACCTGCATGTATAAATATAGTCAAACGACTAAACATTTTCCAACAGCTATTCCGAAATTGTGTTTATGAATCACTATCACGATGATGACACAAGATGAGTCCCTCAAGTTTAAATTAGGAATTGTATTCAATCAATATCACTTAATATCATCAGGAACATATTGTTTTGGTCACTGATGTGTAAACACATAGACACAATACTTCATTTATTTGTGAATCAGGCAAACAATACGATGTCTTTTAATATACAAGCATACGTGGACTTTATATTCGGTACGCATGTGTAACTCTTGATTGTATTGTTAGGTTGACATGAATATATTAACGCTTTGACATTGTTAATCACGCTGATGGGAATATATAATGTCAACGCAAAGAATACCCAGTCTTGAATGTCCTCATAAATAGATTTCTTTCGGTTTAAATGGCCACACAGCTATTAAAATAATATGAATGGACCGCTGAATCTCATTGATGCCACCAGGCATGTTCATATCGATGTCATGTGTCATGCTACTAATCAAGCCATATATACACTTTTCGTATTGTACGGACAGATTGAAGAAATCATTAAAAGTATGAGCGAAAATGCAAAAATGTTAAAATGTGACACAGCCCGAAGTGTCGTCTAGAAGATGTAGTATCATGTAAAACAGGCTTCATTGCACGTGTTAACTTACCGTTTACATAATATCTTTGAGGGACATATTTCTGTAACAATAGTTAATTTATCTGGGGCAATCTCATA